GAATTTAAATTAATTAATTTTATTTTCATTTGTAGGTTTATTATAAGGATAAATCAAACAGTAAGTATTAACTTAGATAAATTGAAGAGCCCAGCCAGGCTGAGCACCCAAAATGTTAGTTTTTGTGTTATTTGGAGTGGGGGGGGGGCGCAAATTCATGTGAAATAATATGAGAGACGACGTTGTATAGGGCCGCGTACGATCGATTGCGGAGGTCGTATACACGCCGTATTCCGTGGTAAACTATACGGCGACATACTGTCGTAATTCTAGTGTCAAGTAATACGACCAAATATGGTCGTATACGACCGTACATAATCCCATACGACGTCGTATAGGATCATTTACGACTGTCATAATGCTCGTCCTGGAAAGTTCAAATGGTCAAAATCCCAACTGTCTAATGGTCTCTTGTCATCTTTAATCAGATCCACCAAAAACATGTACAGGTCCAGTGGCAACGACATAGAATCGCCCTCTGGTAGCAGGTAAGAAAGTAGTTACTATAAGAATGTATTTTACTCTAGAGTGAAGAGCATATGCCAGTTTGAACTGTAGATGGCCGCCACTATCATCATCGTGTGCGACTTGATTGAGAGACAATCTTGTTTTATCAAAACTATTAATGTATAAGTAACCATACATATCCATAGTGCTGTTACTTGCAAAAGTGTAATTGCCTGTCGTATACACAACGATATTAATTGCTTGATAGTAGTATAAATGTGTTTCAGTTCGAAAAAATCGACCACTATCATCGGTCAATGCACTGGAGTAAGTTGACTTTACAATATTGGACCCTATAATGATATGAAAAGCGTTAGAAGAAATCTGCTTCTATAGGATATTCGAAATATTTGTTATTTCTCATTGTCAAACTTCAAATCTGTCCCAAAGATCCTTCTCATTGTGTTAGGTCGTGAAAATGCATTACCATGCTTAGTTTCTAATTATTTAGTTAAAGAATCGAAGGAATGACTGAGTTGTTGAGTAATCTGCAATATTGCATTTTCCTTTTAATGTGAATGAGTCATGGTTCAGAGAATTTTTTAGGCTAAAAGTGTCATCCATATGAAGGTTCCCTAGCAAAATAGTTTTCGCCACTATGTTTCTGAAACCATACCCTAGGATAAATCTTTGATATTTCCATTATTAGTTTCCAACCGAGCCAGTCAGGATCCTTCAATGGCTCGCTCTGTCTTTCTGACGAAATGACAAAATCCTAAAGAAAGCATGTCACTACTCAATTCCAAGATCCTGATAGAATTCGATACAGAATTTAATCAGGATCTTAGCAAATTTTATCACTTGGTTTAAAAGCAGGAATCTTTTCATGAAACCACAAGTCCTGAAAGCAACGTGTAGCCAGGAAATATTATTGACTAGATGAGTGTGGATGTGGGTGTTCGTTCATCGTATCTTATCTCAAATGAAAACTCACACTCATGCATTATATTCTTGTTAAGATTCTCCTTTGATTCAGCTACAATTCTTGGACGGATCTTAGCTTTAGGATCCAGAATGGCTACTGTTTAGAACTTCATAAAATCTTGACGACATCCTATGTACTATTTCAGTGAGAATTCTTAGTAGAATCGAAGCTGAATTCTTGTAAAATCATATATTTCTACTTTAGAAAAAAAAATGGACAAGACCTTGAACAAATCCTTGAAAGGATCCTCTTTAACCTTGAGATAGCCTGCATACAAGAACTACTAGACTTCGAGAGAGAATACTGACTGAAACGTGACAAGATCCTTGATACCTAGGATCCTGACAAATCGTTCCATGGTTTCTCAAGAAATGAACAAGATTGGAACTGGAGATAATCTCGGTTAAAGCTAAATCTAACATAGCTTGATATTTTGATGGAGGGAGTATCCTAAATTTTTGCTAATAGCGGGTTCGAAATAATCCTGTCCGTTATGTTTTGCAAGGGCTCCAATCACTGAATACACATGAAGTACTCTGATCAGCGAATGCATACCTTGCTTTTGTACAATTAACTGACTTTTATTTGCCGCCAAATATTGGAATTTTCTTCTTCTCTTAATAACATATAGTGGTTTCACAGGTCCGACTGGATGCTCAAGTTCGACGCATATCTCCGTAGCTTATTTAGTTTTGTAATTGATATTTTCCAGATGGCGAACTTTGAAGTGAATTACAATGAGAAGCCATTGTTTGCTAAGTTACAATATATTCATTTAGATGTTTCATTCAATTTTTTGTTCACTTTTGAAGCTCAGTTTGGTTGTTACGGGAGTGACTTCGAACGATACCAGAAAGACATTTGCTCACATGCAGTTCACGATCCCGCCTTCTTGAGGTATAGAGGTTTTCAAAGAGACAAACTTTCTCTTCAAGATCGTCTGTTTAAAGTTCGATTATTGTCAAAATTATTCCTTATTTGTTACGTGCTCATTATAATAAACATTCTGAATCAAGCTGAAAAGGCTTTGATTTGTCAATTTGCAAGAAAAACTTCTTCTTTGATAGGTTTCTCATTCTGATTCCAGAGACAGTGAAGAATCATAAATTAGCTTTTTTTCAGATTGGTTTGTCGTGCACCACTGATGAAAATGTACACTGTCTCTTATCGCCTCGACGAGATTCGTATGTCATCAAATTTGATAAACGTAAAGATTTTTGTCAAATCACCGTATTTTCCGAACTATGCCACCTAAATTTGTTATATCAAGTGTTTTAAAATCCAATACTAATAATATGCCATTGTTCCGTTGGATCTTTGCACTACTAAGCCTTGTTGCCATTTTTGAACGAAGAAATACATGTTTTTTCTTCTTCTTCTTTTACACTATTATCCTCGATGTGATCTGTATCCCACAAACATAAACCCTTTATATCTGAATTCAATAAAAAAATAAAGCTCTTTTATTTATCATCTGACTATCACGAGCTAGTTTACGACACTGCTCAATTGTTATTTTGGATCAAAGTGAGAAACTTATCGAAGAAGAACCTTTTCTCCGAAATCGGTAAGCCAACAAGTTTTCAGCCTGAATCTAAATGCTTGTTATAGAAAGCACATAATGAATAATAAATAATTTTGATCAAAAGTGAACTCTAAACAGACGATCTGGAGGAGAACATTTTTCTCTTTAAAAACCTCTATATCTCAAGAGGACAGGTTCGTGAAGTTCATCTGAAAGAATTTCTTTATGGTATCGCTCGAAGTCGCTCCTGCAACAACTAAAACAGAGCTTCCACAATGAACAACAAATTGAATGAAAACATCTAAAAGAATATACTGTATATTAGCAAACAGCGGCTTCCCAGCATAATTCACTTCAATACTCACCACGTTGAAAACATCAATCACAATACTAAATAAGCTACGGAGATATGCGTAGAAAATGAATATCCTGCCTGACCTGCGAATCTAATATATTTTATTAAGAGAAGAAGGAGATCTCTATATTTGATAGCAAGTAAAACTCACTTAAATGTTCAAAAACTGATATATATTCGCTGATCGGAGCACTTCATATATAATCAATGGTTAATATCTCATTCTGCATTAGTCATTTTTCGTCACTCTATTTTATTATCGTCAGTATATCCTATAAATTTGATCATGAACTGTATCGAAATGGAAAGTAAAACACACGTTTAAAAAACTCACTTTGTAGGTTCTTTCTGATCTCACTGCATCACGTGTCACAAGTCTTAGAAAAAGTTTTTCATCATTTAAGAAAGTTTTTGCTAGTAAATATAGCTAAGTAAGTAATATATATTTCAACAAAAAAGAGGCAGTTAGCGAAAGTGGCATAACTCATCAACGGATGCATCTAGACATATGCATATGTTTTATTTAAGTGAGACATACAGGTGAGCCAATTGTTGGAAGAAAACAAGTTATGATGTTTGACATTCATAGATGTTTCAGGAGTTTTTTGGAAAGTGTTGGATTCTGAGGCTGCTATATGATGCCTAAGCTGATCGTGGGTAATTTCTATATAATAGAAGTGAGAATTCTCTATAAACCTATTGTTTCAAAACAATTCAGCAAGTCAATTTGAACAAGAGTTGTTCGAAAAACTCGATCTCGAAAAATCCACGTTTTGTGCAAAAGATTTACTTTGTAAATATTCGTTGTTGGCTTCCAATGCATAGGAGACCATAAAACATAAGGTATTACATATACATATCTATTCTTTGCACCATGCAGCTTCAACAACGCTCGTTGAAACTTTTAGAATATTGCTCCAATGACTATTTTCAGATGAACTATTATAAGGCGTGACATTTTCAACTTCCGCTATTGAAATCGCATAATCCTTAGAATAGATAGATATGCGTAGTTTCTCATTTTTTACAATCTGGGATTTCATGAGAAACCAAAATAGACATTTTCAAGATGGATCCTTGGTGAACATCTATGTGCATTTCGAGTTTCAGGTTTTCAGATGCGCGTGGCCCTAAATTAGGTTGTTAGATTGTTTTGAATCAATAGGTTTGTACGAAGTTCTCAGATCTATCTAAAGGAAATTGTCCAGAAATAGCTTAGATGATCTCTAGCAAGCTCAAAACTCAATGGTTTTGAAAAGCTCCTAAAATCCTCTAAATATAATACATCATAATCTATCTACTTTCAAAAACTAATTTGTCCTTCAATGTCACTTGAGTGTAAAAGTAGTCACAAATATTTGGACACACCCGCTTCTCAGTTATGCCACTTATAATGACCGCCTCTTGTACTTTGAAATGAATAATAGTCTCGCTTTTGAGAACTCACCATATTCATAATCAACTATCATCCTATTAGGACTTCGAATCAATAAATTTTACAGAAATTACAGTCTTCATTATAAGTAACAGAGTAGTCGATGACTACGAACAACTCCATAGTTGTTCTAGGAAGTATTTCTTAGAGCCTTTATATCTAAAAGGTTTATACCATATCACGACATCGCTTTACAACGAAAACATCGCTTGTATACCCTATTTTCAGCTTGTCAATAATACATGTCGAAGAATTATTTAGTTTGCTTACTAGTTGAACTAGCTGTCGTTATTCTGCAAGTGGTTGTGGCTGTTTTGCTGGTGGTTGTCATTGTTTTGCTAGTGGTTGTAGTTGTCATGCTAGTAGTTGTAGTTGTCATGCTGGTAGTTGCCGTTGTTTTGCTGGTGGTTGTGGTTGTCTTGCTGGCGGTTGTAGTTGTCATGCTGGTGGTTGTCATTGTTCTGCTAGCTGTTGTAGTTGTTGGGCTGGTTTGTATGCTTGTTGCCAACGAAGAAGGTTGTATTTCAATAGTGTTTAGATGAAAACCTACAGAAGCTGAACCACTTACAGTTATTGAGAATGGTCCATAGATTAGCGGACTATACGTTGTTACTATAAGAATGTATTTTGTTCCAGCCTGAAGAACATATGTCAGTTTGAACTGCAGGTTACCGCCACTATCATCATTTTGTGCGACTCGATTAAATGCCAATCTTGTTTTATTAAAGCTATTTTTGTATAAGCAGCCATATGTATCAACAGTGCTGTTGCTTGTAATAGTGTAATTGCCTGTCGTATTCACAATGATATTAATTGCTTGATAGTAGTATAAGTTCGTATTTCCAGTTCGAAAATATTGATCACTATAATTAGTCAATGCACTTGAAACAGTTGAATTTACAATAGTCGGCCCTATAATCATTTGAAAAGTGCTAGAGGAAATATATTTCGATGAAATACTCGAAGTATTTATTATCTCTTATTGTTAGATTTGAGAGCAATCTCAAAGATCCTTCTCATAGTGTTTGGCAGTGAAAATACATTCGTGTGCTTGGTGCCTCGATTTTCAGGAAGAGTATTGAATGAATCTCTTTTAAATACATAACGATATGTCTAAGAGTTAAAAAATAGTTTAATAAAAAACAGGCCTCGAAATGGGCCACTTTTTCATGACCCGGTCCCATTTGAGGATTACTTAGGTAATTATCAATGTAGTCAGGAACCAATAACTCACGTCATAGCGGACTTGATTAGGTCAGATCGTTGCAAATGAAATAAAACCAATGCGAGATGAGTTTAAGTACTTGTTGACTCAAACGAACAAACAGTATGCACTAATGTGCTTCAATCAAATACTGATCATCATCAATAATTCTATATTCTAGGATACATAATCATTTATTAGTATAAATCTGTGACAAACACGCCCTATTTATCAATGAAAACTTGCTTTTTCGATTTTGACATTTCAGCGAGGTAACACAGGCGAAAACAGTCTGTAAATAGAAAAAATATTTGAATCACTAAAACTTGAAGGTTCGTCTTCACGTTTTAGGCGTTCGATTTTTTTCCTACTCACAGACTATTTTCTACTACGCGTTACTTTACTGGAATGACAGAATCGAAAGCAGCGCTCGTTCGAAAAAATGGTGCGAAATCAATAATATTATCTTTTTCCCAGAAAATGTTATGCATTCCATGGATTCAGTCATTATTCAAAGTTGAAGCGGTAAACGACGTGTTATGCGTGACTTCTACTGTTGGTAATAGTTTAATCCAGACACAATTTTTTTTGCAAATCGTATTATGACGTTAACTAACGTGATTTATACCAAGGGAGAAAAAGCGAGACTCCATAAGTTGGAGTACAACTGAAGTACAGCTGAAGTACATTGGAGTACAGCTGGAGTCTAGCTGAAGTACAGCCGGAGTACAGTGAGTCCGTACTCCTTGTACTTCAGCTGTACTCCAACTTATGAAGTCTCGGTTTTTCTCCCTTGGTTTATATACTACAGAACAGTGCCTAGGGACGAGATATATGATCAGTTTAAGCAATTTCTATGACTAATTATATTAATCTTAGTTGAAATCTACATAGTTTTCCCGTTGTAAAACTTTGAACAATTTATACTTCCTAAAACAGACTTCAAATTCAGAAAAAAGGAAAAAAAAACATAAAAACGTCGAGCTGGGCGGCCCAGTAAAATTTTCAAACCGGCTCGCCCGCCCCAACATAAAATCTTACTTGGGCCGGGCCGGACCAATCCACTGGGCCGCGTGGCCCGTTTCGAGGCCTGCTAAGAAACATAGTCATCCGTTTTTCTGATTTCTGAATTTATATTGTGAAACTCGATTGATGTCAGACAATACCTATGTTCGAACTATTTTAGGTGTCTTCTTTCACTCAAGCGACCCTCTCAGTCCTCGGTATACAGCCACTTAGCTAATGAGAAAATTCTAGAATTGGAAAATCCAAACGTAAGAATTGTGAGACATGTTTTGTTGTTGGAAGTGGGTATGTACGCTTAAGTAGGAATTATTAATTAATCAGTAAATATTAAGTTATATTATTGTCTTATATGAACTTCATTATTAATATAGAAAAAAGGTCTCAACTGAAGTTGTGAGCGTGGATTTAAGGCCGAACAAAAAGAGTAAGTAATCTTGATGCATTTTCAAAACATAAGGCATAATAAGTGCATTTATCATTGAAGAGAACTTCTGCACAATATTGTCTAATAACATTTATGGCACAGAAAGTCTAAGATAGCGTTTGTTGTATGTACAAAAAAAACTTTCGAACTCAATCTTTTCATAGAGGTTGTTTAAAATTTTTAAACTCCATAGTAACACTGTTCTTCCTTGGCAAGTGCGCTATCTTGTTGAGATTACTTCTATTCTATGAATAAGAACTCAGAGCAAAAACGTCAATCGAAAACTGGCCGAACACGAAACAAAATATGACGTGCCTATTTTATGCTGCAAATAAAACACAATCCTTTGTTGATTATCTTCTATTTTAGCAAGATAACATGGGTGTAGTGTAAAGCTTTGGTCACTGGGATCTGTTGGAGAGGTCTATCGAATAAACACGATGGATATAGAATTTTAAATTCGACTAGGTTATGTGATTAAGAGAATGTTTGATTGCTTTTGGAATTATCTTTTAACGTTATCTTAAATTTGCATGTTTACTATGTCACTTATATTTTCTCTTCAACAACACAGAAATTTTTCTCTTCATCGGAAGCAATTTTATATTCGTTTTATCAATGCTACTTTCTGCTCAGTGTGCTAATATAAATGCGTACGCAATTAATTTCAGACTGTGCCTCATGAAGCATCCCTACTCCAACCATAGTATAGTGATGTTTCTATCATCATTGTCTTCAGTCTTTCAACAAAATAAAATCACTTTTTCTGGTAGTTATCTTTGCAGATGCTGTTTTTCAACTCTACCTGTAGTGCTGGACAATACTATAGTTGTTGAGGTCATAACACTTGTAGTGCTACTAGTGGTAGTAACTACCAAAATGCTTGTGGTGACAGTAATGGTTGTCGTTCGAGTTGTTGTGTCAGACGTTATTGTAGTGGTATCTGATGTTGTTGTAGTTGTCTCAGACGTTGTTGTAGTTGTCTCAGACGTTGCTGTAGTTGTCTCAGACGTTGTTGTAGTTGTTGGTGTTTCAGAAGTAAGAATAAGTGTGGGGATGACCACCATTGGCGTTGTAGTATCTGTAGTTGTTTGATCAGTAGCAGTTATATTAACTGTTGTTCGAGTGGTTTTAGTAGTATGAGTTGTCGTCGTTGCACTAGTTTGTGTAATCTGAGTGGTGCGAGTCGTGACGGTTACAGTGGTTACAGTAGTTCGAGTAGTTTGGGTAGTGCGAGTTGTTTTCGTCGCAGTAGTTTGCATAGGTAGAGTTGTTGTTGTGCCAGTAAATAGCCCAATTTGGGTTGCAGATACTGCCGCTGAAGTTGATGATGCATTAGTACTGTTTGCATTTAGCTGATCAACTAAAATAAGTAAGGTGTCTCATTTTCCTCGAATTGCACTTATTGATTCTGTTACTTCAAACGTTAGTGCAAAACTATCATAGGTATAATGGTAGTTTTCATGATTCTAGATTAACAACTAGTCTTAAATAATATAAGTGGGATAAACAATGCACTCGCTGCGTAATGAATAAGTCACTAATTGACTTTGTTACGATAGGACGGGTTCGGATGATGGCTCATAGTACTTTATTATTCTCTTAAGAACAAGGAAGCTAGATATGAACAGCAATTATGATTCGATCCATAACTGACTTGCGTATGTTTTTCATATTACTAATTTGTCTTAATACGCAGCATAAGTTTTCCAATTTCGACGTAATGAAACACTATTGTATGCTATGTTCTCAATTTATTTTTCCCTTTAGATAGACTCATCTTTCTTCTTCAGAACGGTTACCAATGTAAGCACTTCTCGTCTCCAACAGGACAAACATCATATGCTTAGGTCATATCAAAAGTCTTTACGAACCGATATCAATTTCTTAAGGAAAGCTTGAAGAAACTTTCTTTTATACAGTCTGATAGAGAAAAGAATGCTCTATTTTTCTATGCTATTTGATCATACTTCAACTAATATCATAATTATAAAATTTCGGCAAAGAGCTGTTTGATATGATATGTAACGGTTATATGAATGTTTGTATTTTTTGAATAACTTTTGATAGAAACAAGATAGAGAACTGTGGTATTTCCCGTTGGAAAGAGGAAAATGACGACGCATCGAGTCGTATATTTCATGGTTTTTTATCTGTTTTTTTGTAAGGTTTTCAATTGATCTTTTTAAGAACAAACCTATCTGGTAAGCTGTTTGCAGTGAATTTTCAATAATCAAGTATAAATTTAAACCACTAAGCAAAGATCTGCAAAGAGCGAAAGGCTAAGATGAGTAATATGTATTCTGGTCGACCCTCTAATACGATTTTCTAGCAAAAAACCATGGAAAAGCTCACTTTTATGCTTTTTCCTTTTTTCATTAAAAAAACATTTTTCCGACAGTTACAAAATTGAATAAAAGTGCTTCAGAAATCAATATTAGACAAGTCTATAATACACGATTCGATGCATCTTCATCTTCTCTTTCCAACGGTGAAAACCGCAGTTCTCTATCTTGCTTTATCAAAAATCATTGAAAAAGTACTCCCTAGCATTCATGAATCCGTGGCACATGCCATCAAAACACATCTTATCGACATTTTATGATTATGATATTAGTTGAAGTATGATCAAATATCATAGAAAAATAAAGTATTCTTTTCTCTATCCGACTGTATAGAAAAAAAATTTCTTCAAGCTTTCTATAAGAAATTGATATGCCTTCGTAAAGACTTTTGGTATGACCTAAGTATAATTGCATGCAATATTGAACAGTGAATTAATTGACGGAATTAAAAGCCTGTTCAGAATTATCTTGGAGATTTTTTCTTGAAAACTTCATCGGAATAGTCCATCTTCGCACCCCACTATTGAACACTAGTGTATCATGAACCGCCGAGAAAGTGATGTTTACTTTTGAAAGTAGTCTGGATCTTGGCGAGTGCAAATTGTTGGTCGTTTGGTTCTCAAAGCTGTCTTAGATTCTTCAGAACAAAACATGAATTTGCACCACACATAAAGAAGACTTTGTGGATGTGGGATC